GTTGCATAACATCTGGTGCATTGTTTTCAAGGCAATTCTTGACAAAAAATTCTGCCAGTTCTTGAAAAGTTATGCCCACTGTTTTTTTGTCTGTTTTGACGAAATTATTCTTGGTGTAGCAGTGAAAAAACTTGAGCTGAGAAGTGAAGCTAAAGGATAAGTTATAAAACTGTTGGACTTGTAGAACAGTATTGCTGTTAATGGTGTTCCAATCGAATAGCAGTTCAGCAATACTGTTGATTTTGTCGTAATCATTCTTCGAGAAACGTGATTGTAGGTTTGTGATCACTGTGTCTAGCCCAGTAAAGTAAACTTCAGTTTTAAAGGATTGTTCGGGTGTTTGATGATGGAATGTAGACTGAGGCAAGTTACTATTTTCAAGCTTTTGGGGAATCTTACGTTTGCGAGGAAGTGAAGGTCTTTCAATGCACAATCCTTTGGTGGCATATTCCTTGCATAGTTCTTCTGTTTCTTCCCATATCTGAGAAAATCCATCGTCATTCCTTACAAGTTTAAAACAGTCTATCACTGCTTCGACCTTTGCAAAAACCCTAGAGATGTCCAGTGTTTCACTCTGAAGCTCTTTGGAGAGAACATCTGTCTGACTCAAAACAGTGTACAATAGTTTTAGACAGAACAAAAACTCAAAGGTGCTTACTTGTTTTAGTAATCCGTCTGCATCAGCTGCTATTTTAGCATTAGAGGCGTCATTTGCAACAATCTCTAAAGTGTCACAAACTTGTGGGAGCTGATCTAGAATGGAGTTAATTGCTCTGTGACGAACAGTCCATCTAGTCCGTGACAAGCTCACCAGTCTTTTGATTTTTGTCTCTCCATTTTGCTTGCATATTGACTCAAAAATAGAAAACCTGCTAGCTGATGCATTTATTACATTATACAAACTATTTACAGTGAACAAACAATTCCGAAGCTGTTTTATTTCCTCGCAAAATCGCATCACAGCAAGATCAAGTAAATGGGCATGACAGTGTGTATACAATGCTCTAGGCTCTTCTTCTTGAAATCTTGCAGCTACGCCTTTTAATTTTCCACTCATGTTACTAGCACCATCATATGCCTGGCCTCGCATTTTATTGATGTTTATACCTAACTGCTGTAGATAGCCTCTGATTACATTATGCAAGTTTTCGCCTGTAGTGTCTGCTACATCAACGAATCCCAAAAACCTCTCTTTGATTTGGATGCTACCGTCTACCTTTGCGACATAACGAATGCAAATGCTTAGCTGTTCGCGTGATGAAACATCAGTTGTTTCATCGCAAATTATTGAATAGGCCAAGGCCTCACCCACTTCTTGCACGATGTCTTGAAGCATTTCATTTTTTATGCACTCAATAATCTCATTCTGAACCTTGGCACTTTTGTATGAGTGAACTGGTGATTTAATTAATGTTTTAATGTCTTCATCCATATCATGCGATCTTAGTTCAAGCAGTTCAAGGAAGTTACCCCTGTTGAATGACCTAATACTCTCATCATGTCCTCTTAAAGCGAGATTCTGTTTGCCAAGAAATAAAATGGTTTCAATAATAAATTTCAAATATTTCCGATTGGCCTGAACTTTTTGAGTGTGCACTGAGGACAACGCATCTGCAACACTTAGACCTGGTTTTCTGTATTCATTAAGAAATTGCACTGCCTTAAGATGCATTTCACTTTTTTCATGTTTTCTGAATTTTTCAAGTGCCTTTTTCCAATTGTTCACACCAACTTTAGTAAATGATTCCTCTCCCCGCCCAGACTTATGGTGGCAAAACAATCGGCATGGATAACAAAATGCAGCATCCAAAATAGGGCTGTATTCAACCCAAGAAAATTCATTGTACCAAGTTTTTTTGAATTGCCTTGATTTAGAATTAACTTTGCTTACCTTGAAGCAATCAACAGGCTGAAATGGACCTTTTGTAATGTCTGCTGTTCGAACACCTAGTGAAGGGTCTCTACTCTCTCCTTGAAACTTGGCATCGCTGTGTTTATGCGGTAAAGATGGCGACTTACCGGGACATTCATCCGCACTACTACTTTGAGCTAAATGTTTATCTCCTTGCTCACTTGACTCAACAGTTACACTTGACTTAACACTTTTTTTAAAAAAAGACAGCACCGAAGATTGTTTAGACATGTCAACAGTAAAAGATAGATACGTCCAGTCACCATTCAAGTTAAACTGTGCAAAACAGGTGCAGTGACGAAACGCATAACCTATAAGTTGACGGTTGCTCTCTCTGCCTGTCTGTACTGTGTGGAGTGGTGGGGATGACAGATTAGATACACAGTGCACAGGTTGACCAACCTTCGCCCAGCCAAAGAATAAAAAGACGCCGCCTATTCAACGAATGTACAACTTCAACACTTAATCCGAACTCTTTGTTTACCAAATGATTCAAATATTGAAATTAATGTAATAATGATTAAGTATAAAAACATAAAGGATTGTAACCAACTATTAATACGGTAAAAAACTTAACTCTTTCTTTATATGAATAACTTATTGTGAGTGCCACTTTAGAAAAAAATTTTTATTTTGATTTTTATTGTTGGTTTTCTAAAAAAAAAAAAAAAATAGCTATATAAGTGTCCCCCCGGCGTGACGCCTCTGCTCAGAACCACCAAAATCTTAGCTTTGCATTAAGCTATAGAAAATAGCTTATTCCCTATAGGGGAAATTCGCTAAAAGTTGACAACATATTTTACATCTGAACTTCCACCTTCTATTATATAAAAAGTTAAGCAGTAATCATAGCTTCAATTTTATATTACATACCTTACATCCCGTGCCATGGTCTATTCCTACAACACCAGGCAGAGAAACATGCTGGATGTTCCCCGTGTTAGGCTCTCTAAGATAGCTGCTACCTATCAAATTCAGTCTTAAGTTCTTCAACAAACTGCCGATGGCCATTAGGGGCTGGAATAGTAGTTTACGCAACGATTGCGTTAAGTGAGTCTTTACGACACGAGTAGAAAATTTCTACTCGTGTATTTTTTTTTTTTTTTTAAACTTCTACGAGTGTCGTAAAGACTATTAACGCGAGTTGCGTACACTACTTTACCTACGACCGTTTTTTAATTACTATCAATCTGGATTTAATTACTAACAATCACTACTGATAACTTTTTAGAGAGGTTATGTTTTCGTGTATTGTCATTGCCACTGAAAGTGATGCAACGACTTGTTGTATAATCAGCTGATTTCCTGTAATTACGTGTTTGTTACACTTCGTTTAATATTACATTGCTAGCAGCATTCTTACCATAAATAATATTGTATCAGGTACAATTCGGCAAATATTTCATTTATTTTTGGACTTCCACCAACTTAATTAAGAATACGCGAGTATCAACATGAACAAGTCGGATCAACAATTAAATTGGTCAACTGATCAGCTGATCAGCTGATTAGTTGACGTTCGAAGCATTACAATTTTAATTCTTTTCTCTCAATACTTGAACCTCATTGGTCCGTTACCTGTGTGAATATGAGAAAAACTATGCTGATATGAAATGAAACTATGCTGATATGAAAGTAAACAGCTGTAAAGTGTAACTTTTCAATTCTAAGAACTGGACTGAAATGGCTACTTTAAAAACGGTCGTAGGTAAAAGAGGTTATCTTAAGGAAAAGCTTATGTCGCTAATGAAAGAGAGAGCCTACTATAGCATGTCAGAGTTCATGACCGATAAGGAGATAGCAAACATACAGTAGCCATCTTTCCATCATCCCTGGATGTTATTTTTAACTTGTATATATGTATATATATTGTTTTATACCTTGAACTGTTGTACACGTTATGAAGTATTTTTTTCTTTTGTGCGTGTATAAGAAATGTTTTATTTATTTTCGACGAGACGCAATCCATCCCTATTTTGGTTAAAAGATGAAGAAGGAGTAAGTAAGTAAGTAAGTATAGCCCCTGAGCCGATCTCTATAACTAAATTGAAATATTAATTTCGTCAGCCAGCTCCTGTAGTGTAACAAAATGTCACGGCCGTTTCAGCATCATCGTGCCATCATCAGACTGTTCAGCCACAAGGCTTCGTTATAATACAAAAACATGAATATCACACATAAACATTCAAAACGGGTTTAAAAAAGACAGGCCTGTTGAGGAACGTAAATTTCCACACTCGAGCAGGTAGTTGACTCAGCTACTTCCTCGAGTGCGGAAATATACGTTCCATTATTTATTTATTGATATTTATTGATTATTATTGATTATAATTGCCATACATGCAGTCGTTTACAATCAAAGTGTACAACTGTTAACAACAGCTGAATTTTACTCCCTTTTGGGAGTAAATTAACTACTTTAGACCTACAACGCATGTATTTAAAACTGCTGTTTTTGCTGCAGTATGACAAAAAAAAAATAAACTTACATCAAAATAACAACAAAGATTTTAAATTTTTAAGCAATATTTTGATGCATTAACAAACATTTGATGCATAGATACATAGAGCGTGTTTTTATATTATGATTTTACCAACTGTTTACATCCAATATTAAAGCACAAGCGTATGGTGTCCGGGTATTTTCGTATTATATCGAAGACACCAATAAATCGACTTTCAAGTAAGATTTTCATTAGTTTTAAAAATACAATCTTCCAAAGCCAACCACCCTTAGGTTAGGTTAGGTTTAGGTGACTTCTGTACTATACGTAAGTACCGGTTTCCGTATCCCAGTTCCCGATCTCCTCTCTTATTTTCTTCCACACCCTGCTGGACCCTTCACCCCCTCCATATCCACGACCAATGAATACAGACATATATGTTCATTTTCATGCACCCCTCTCATTGGCTGATTACCGATATGGTTGGTTGGTTATGGGTTACTGGAAGTTTTTGGAAACTACCAGATAACATTCAGCTTTAATATAGGAATTATAAGTTTATGCTCAAGCTACTGCTCACTTCTGTTCATACCCACTGGTCTAACGTCTTTAGTATTTTCTAACACATGATTTGATGATTGCAGGACTGATTTCCGCTGTGACGATGGCCAATGTATCAGTTCCTACGACAAGTGCGATGGAGTCAGACATTGCATCGACGGTTCAGATGAGACTTCAGCTGCATGTAAAACACCAGGCGTAGAGTAAATCACTTATTACCTTCATTTATTGTAAATCTATTTAAACATTAGTTGAAATCGGTATTCTAACTGTTGATTTATTTTGAATGGCTTAAACATTGGTTAGTATTACATTATGTGTATCATGAGTACATTGTAAAACAGTCATTACAACACTTTCGCTTATTAAAATTTTGTATTAATCAACAAAATTCACATTGCCTGTCAAAAAAAATTTCAACTAAAATCAATATACGGACGTTATGCCTCTGATAATGGATATAACCTGGAACTACTAGGCATGTGGCTTTCCCTAGTTGTGTGTAAATAACTATATTTCAATATAATGTTATGGTGTTATATTGATTAGGTTATGATACAACCTTTTCCAAAGCATTCGTTTTTGTTATGACTATAAACGAATGGCAACTAGTTGAAAGTTATTTCCGTTCTACGGTCAGTGTTGAAATTATGAGGTATTGCGCAGTCTTTTTTTCCATCTGCCAACTACACGAATGGCTGTTCTCTTGCAGATGCCCATTACTGTCCTTCCAGTGTTCCTACGGAGCTTGTGTCGCCGAGAGGCTGAGATGTGATGGCAAGGATGACTGTGCTGATGGCTCAGACGAGAGAGGCTGTTCTGAGTCTAATCAGAACGTTTACTACAACCCATCTGCCTCGACGTGCAGGTCAGTATCACCTCATCAAACAAACTAATTCTTATCGGTTTGGTTGTTCATCCAAAACCATAAATTCCCTCGTTATACGTAAAACAGCAAAGTCTTTAGATCGTAAAGAAGACTTCTTAAACCATCTCTCTTTAAAACGTTACTGAATGAATTACGATGCATTTTTAAACACACATACTCCCCGAGAATTATGTTTGGGTAATCCAGGTAGATGTAATACGTATATCCCAATATCCCAGGTTGAAAATGGAAGATTTACAATTTATCATCAGTGATGCATTTGATTTAATGGGCTAGGGATGCGGACGGTCCATAAATGAACTATAATTATTGATATTGTTTTGATATCCAATTGGCTGCAAAATCTTACAGATGGTGATGCTTTATCCTTTCCCCGATCAAGACACCAAACCGAGTAGAGAGAAGGGAGAAGGGAGGTCGAAGGAAGCAGGTTCGATAGTGTGTCAGGAGTCCGTACACCGATCCAGATGGCAATCCAGGCATCAGACCGATCAAGATGAGCTCTCTGGAGGCAGTTCTTTGGCGAAAGATCAAAGAAAAGATCGGTCCGATTTACGGAGTGATGTACGATAGTGTATCACGGTATATTTTTCTCCTGTTCTTCGTCTCAAGGGCCGCACCGAGTGGCCGCCTGCTCTAGCGTTCGGTTCAAATTTATCATGGCAACTACCCTCTTTTAATTGGTAAAATAAATACATTTTTGGTAATATTTTTTTCGTTTTATATTATGGGACTTTATGTTTTAATTTTGTGGTTTGTTTGGTCAAATTTAAACATGTATTTTAGAAGTTGAATCCGTTAAGTCAATCATCTTAATAATGTTAATTTAAAATTTTGTAATTGATAGCCTATAATACTTAAATTATTTCAAAGATAACATTAATATATTACTTAAGGCAATTAAAATTATCATTCTATAACATTTTATTTTAATGGATAAATTTTTATCTTACAGCAACTTTTATATTTTCGTAGACATTTAACAAGTTTTTGATTTAATCAAAATTGTAAAAAACCTTTCAGCATCCTTTACACTCTATAGGTCTAGATACTGTTTATTTGGGTTCTAGGTTTATGTGTGTTTCTTGATGTTAGTGTATTGTAAATTATGCCTGGTGTAAGTAAAGGCAACTCGTTTATCAGGGAAAGTTTAGTAACTTAATTAGCAAATCCCATTACCAGGAGACACAATTAAACCTTCTCCCTGACATTATATGTATAAATAAAGTGTATTGTCATAATATTAGGTCAAAACAGGTATGATTTTCAGTGTTTTAAACTCTAGCAGTTAATGTGTAGTATTATTTATCGATATAAATGTTTCAGCAATTATGAATTCCGATGCACAAACGGACAATGCATCAGCGAATATGATATCTGTGATGGAGTAAAACACTGCATGGACGGTTCCGATGAAACACGAAACCTGTGTTTGTACTATGAGTAAGTACCGTCTTAAAATATGTTGGTAGATAAATGTCAAGAGATTATATGTCATGGTGAATCTTATGTTGTAACAAACCTGTTTAAATTATAAAATGTAAGTCTACACCAAAGAAATTTAGGCGTAACAAAACACTATCTATGTAATAATAGTTTTAGGAATGTAACCATTTAATAAACTTACATTTTTTATAGTCCCAAAAAAATATATAGCCTACATTTTTCTCAAGAGTAAAGGTGGACTGGAACTTAAATTGTAAAATGATTTGTTTAGGGTGTGCATGCTTGCTATATTGCATTATTCAAATAGCTTTATACGGAAGTGCTTTTCATACATCTTTAACATTGGATTTGAGATAATATTTACCCATTAGGGGCTTATAACCATTATAACCATTAAAACCATTAGGGGTTAATAGTTCAATACTGTAGTGAGAGAAAAAATAAGGTCAGGATTATACTGGAAAGTTATATCTATTAATTTGATGAGGGATTTCAAACTGGGACCTAAAGCTACGCACTCTACTCCTATACCAGTTCACTTACTTTATCTCAAGATGTATCAAACATGTTAAAAGTTCAATAAATGGAAGACTATGATTCAATAAATTTTCTTGAGAACTGCAAATTTATCACCAAACAACAATTGTTTTCAGGTGTCCTCCGAGAAGTTTTAAATGTACGTATGGTGCCTGTTTGAAGCCATCGTTGAGATGCAACGGGAAAGTAGACTGTTCTGATGGATCCGATGAACTCGGAAACTGCCCCAGTTATCCTTCTGTTCCAACTACAACCACTCAAAGGTTTGCTACTCACATCTGTATAATTAAAACAGTTAATAGTGTAGTGAATCGTTATTTAACATTTTATATAAAAAAAGGTAGACCTGAATCAAAGTTAAAACCTAATGGCTACATTTATAACGCTTGTTAGTTTGTAAAAGATCACTCTACATTGTTCTAAAATATTATAATCTATTAAACGAGCACGAGTTATGTTTACTATGAAACCTCAATAAACACAATTTTACCGTCTAGTTCAGTTGTTATGCCATATACAGGATGCGACAAGAAAACCGATCTATTTTCTATAGCGCACTGTTCAGCGACCGGTCGTCTGACGGTGATGGGGGTAGGCTCGTTGGAAAGCCAACTCGATGCCATTATCTGTAGTCATAGAGTGGAGGCCACCTGAGCAACGCGCATTTGTTATCCAGTCGTTTAAAAAAGTAATGATTCAGTTATTGCAACTCAGTGGCAGTTCCATTCATTCTTTAAATTAGTCGTCAAAGAGAGGTTCCGTCGAGATTATCTGTATAGATAATCAATAAAATTAAGCATATAAATACCAATTAATCCGCTGGGATAAGATTTAAGATAAAACCATAAAACTAGTGTAACCGAGCGGTCAGATATGTTCAAAGCAGATGCTTATTTGGCTCTGAGGCATCTGGCGTCCGATCTGCTTTTGACTGCTTGTCAGCTTCTTTTTGAACGCAGAAGCCGTTGTTCTAAAGTTGGTAACCCACAACATGATTGTGCTACTTGACGGATTCCATGTCACCCTAATTAAAAGAATCCAAGGAAATGCCGCTGAGTGTCAATAACTGAATCATTACTTTTTCTTTAATCGACTCGATGACAAACGCACGTTGCTCAGGTGACCGTTCTATGACCACAGATAAAGGCATCGTGTGTAGGCTTTCCTACGATCCTAACCACACTACTCTCAGACCGCTGAACCGTGCGCTGCATAAAATAGATGGGGGTTTTTGCCGCACCATGTATACAGGGTGATTGATATAAGTGTGTCAGCCGTTTTATTCGAAAACTATAAGAGATATCAAAAAAAGTTAAATGGTAAGTGCCTTGGATTTTTTATTTAAAAAATTGTAGTCAAGTCAAAAAAAATATTTTTGCCGCCATTTTTCCAATATGGCCACCAACTTTGATTTTTCTTATGAAACACCCTGTATTTTATGATGTATTCTGGTAGATATTGTAATTTTAAGACGATTTTATACCTGTGATTTTTTTCATAAACCTAACCGTGTCAAAGATAATAATGGTTTAAGTTGTGAAACTTTGAATGGTTTTCGAATAAAACAGCTGGCATGCTTGCACACTGCACAGGCCTTTGTCGCCAACCATTATTATCAACCATTATTATCTTTGAAACGGTTAGGTTTATGAAAAAAATCACAAGTATAAAATCGTCTTAAAATTACAATTTCTACTAGAATACATCATAAAATACAGGGTGTTTCATGAGAAAAATCAAAGTTGGTGGCCATATTGGAAAAATGGCGGCTAAAATATTTTTTTTGACTTGGCTAAAATTTTTAAAATAAAAAATCCAAGGCACTTACCATTTAACTTTTTTTGATATCTCTTATAGTTTTCGAATAAAACGGCTGGCACACTTATATCAATCACCCTGTATTGGAAAGCAAATAAGCCAACCATAATTAAAGCTTTGTTTTCAGAATATATTAATATAAAAAGCATGAATTCTACAGGATGATAACAGTTAAACAAAGTTAGTTAATTGAACAGCCCAACTAACATCATAAGTTAAATCTTTTTTTAGCATTCTTTGTCACCCAGGTGTATTGGAATTCACAGGGGATTTTTGCGTAAATTTCTCCAGACAGTCCAAGTGTTGCCACTAAAACATACCAACTGTGTTCTTTCAAAGTAACAGTTGGCAGCAACTTCTAACAGTCATCAATTGGAGCCAAAATTCACAATTGGATTTAAAAAGAATGGAAAGTAGACATCACTGTCGTACTTTTTTTTACTAAACCACATTCCTTAAACTAATGATCTGCAGTTAGCTTACGATGATTTTGTAAACACAACACCTTTATTATTTAGTAGCATTGGATTACAAGAGTATTCCTTGTGACAGGCCGCTCCCTAGACCTCCTTCGCCACAAGTCCCTGCTACAGTCAGACCACCAGCTCCTCTTTCAGTCAACCCACCAGCTCCTTCTTCAGTCAAGGGGCCAAACACCTGTGTACTACCCAACCACCCCAAGCACGGCGCCTACGACGCCTTCACCAAGTGTAGCGCCAGTGACCCACGCCCTGAATGTTACAATACGCCCGGGGCAGTTGTCTCCTCCTCTTGGGTGCTCAAGTACACCTGCGACCCTGGCTACAGCACTGACAAGGACTCGGCGTTCTCCATATGTGAAAATGGTGTCTGGGAGAATCCAATCGACTGCATCAGTATGTTTCGTGGTTTTTATATTCATAGGCCTTAAACAAACCAATAACTATTTTCAGAAAATTTATTTTATGATGCATCTATGTCATCTTCCCACGCAACGTGAGGAAACTTGTTTTACAAGTTTACATAGTACAATTGACTATTGGATACGTCAAATATAGTACCATAAAAATGATAAAACTATTCGTCTACGCTCAAAGTATATATTATAGTTGCCCTGTTTAGCACAGCATTATCTAGTTAATATTATAATCTTACTAATATTATAAATGTTAAAGTGACTAAAAAAGGTATAAGATTTACCAACAGGGTGCAGCACTATATTTTTTTACATTTATGTAAACTGCTAATTTGAACTAAGCAGCAACAAACAACTGTGATATGCAATGAGAACTGTCAAAGTAGGATTGTTTACAGTTATGTTTATGTTTTTAATGCCATGAATAATTTGGGATTTTTTAATTTGTAATACTTTATTTTTCTTTATTGTTTAGGTGAAGAGGTAGAACATTATGGCTATGGTAGATGTGTAATACCATAGTATACCGTCAATTTCAAGAAGCAAATTTTATCCAACTTTGTCCTCCCCCATTGCAAACGAAAAGCTTGAGTATAACTGCAATAAGCAATTTAAACTTATATGCCAACCCCGTACGAAGGACGAGTACTCTGCTAGTTGTATTAAATAATGACTAGTGTACATGTTGCTCGAATTCGAGCAATTGCAAATATTACAGAAGATATTTCAAAACGAATAACAGTCATATTTACAACGAATTTAAAAGAGTCAACTCAAAGATTACCGGTGTGTAACTCAGACTATGTTTATCTTCGTTACTGATAAACCTAAAGCATTCGGGCCGGTTTTCTCCTTCTCAAAATGCCTCGCTGTACAGGCAACACAGGTCATTTATAGAGGGCCAATTGAGAACGAAAAGTCGTTTTGGGGTAGTGTTAGGGGGCATTTGTAACCTAATAGTTGAGATTGTCCAGGGTCAGGTGCTGACTGTGATGAGTTAAGCCTAATACTCGCCACTGTTCTGTGAGCTGCGGTCGTTATCACGATTACGCCTCCTGTCTATATGTGTTGTTGTCGTCACGTCGGAGGCATATAAAAGAAAAAAAAAAACAAATAAACAAATGATAGCTACACAAAACAACGATAAATGTTACAATCGTGCTAACACGATCCGTCATAGCTACACAAAACAACGATAAATAAATACACAAATTTAAGATACTGTACAACCATACTAACAAAATCCGTCTTGGAGGTTATGTTTACACAAACTCAAATAGTAAATAAACGTACTCGATGGGTTTCATTGAATTGAAAAATAAATAACAGCAATTAAATTAAACAGCTGACCAAAATGTAAACAATTATGTTCTTCATAAGGATAACATGGGAACTTTCAAAGCCACTGGGGCAGAGCCCAAGGGACTTTTTCAAAAATGTAAGGCCAGTTTGCAAATCTACGCGACACGCTCTTTCCAATGAGATCTCAATGGATAAAATCGGTTAAGAAATGGCGGAGGAGTTCAACCGACAAAGTTTCATGTAGCGTATTAATTATATAGATGTTGTGTTTTACAGTTGTTGTCCATCCCACATGTTTAATGTTACATTGTATTATTTAATTGTTATTATGTACAGCCATTGAGTTTTAAATACCGAAGTAGACATGCCATATATTAAATGGATCAGCTGTATTCTATATTCATCCTAAAATAAAATAGGTAAATACGCACTGACAAAGTGCAATACAGTCAAAAGATACACATTTTCCCCTTAGTATTTGTTACTGTTTAGGTTTAGATGCTGTGTAGGTTACAATTAGCCTTAGTCGTCCTATAAGTTTTCTTTGTGGTTAAAAGTCGTCACATTCGACAGAGATCAGTAATATGTATACATCAGCACACTCTTTCATTGACACAACACATTTACGTTTGTTTTAATTATAATAGAACTGTCAACTTTAAAATGGCAATATCTACGTATAGTTTCACTAGTCAAAAGTAAAACTGTTGATACTTTGTATGTTTAGAACTCTGCCCACCACTACGTTCCCTTAGTGTGGATGTTGAATGCTTTTTTGGAGGTGCGACAGTAAACTGTAGTTTGCCAATGAATCCCGACACCCAGGCGAGAGCACAATGCAAGCCACACTACAAGCTGGCGTCCTTGGCAGAGTACTCCCTCCTGCTTTGTCTCCGTAGTGGCGAATGGAGCTATCGCCTCTTTACTTGTTCTCCAGGTAAACAGACAACTCATCTATACTTCTCAATCTAGGGTTTCCACCATAACTAACTTTAGATTGTGTCACTTAGTTACAGAGTACTCAGTCTAAGTGGTATAGTTTTGGTGTCAGCTCTGTAACATCGATGTCTTTTTTACGTTTAGTTGTCATTGACTATATAAGAACAAGCCTTTCTAAGGGCTTGAATTATCTGCTCAATTCGTCATTTGTAATAACGACAGCCGATGCTCTGGTTGTTATAAACTATCTCATAATTATTAGGAACTGTATGTATTACTTCTGAAATTATATTAATAATCTCAGTTATAGGCATGTAAGTTTCTTTAAAGCATTTTTTTATCAACTCGTGTGCTTCGCAGGGAAATTTTCCAATATTGCTAGAAAGATATTTTCCTGTAGATTTGCAGAATCCCTTTACAAATCCATATAGGCTCAAAAATAAACACAAAAAGTTAATTAAAAAAATGGACTTTATGGGTTGCCATGTTGGTGACGAAATAACAACAATATGTAAACAGAACATTAAAACAAATGGGAGAAATTACAATCACATGTTTTATTTACAGTGTGGTGTGAAAATAGAGAATTCTGTGCATTCGATATTTTACGTCAAGCTTTCGACCACTAAACGACCTCTAGTAGTTTATAAATAGGTTACGGATTTTATACATACATTACCGTAATAAACATTTAACTTTTTAAATACTTCCAATGTATGTCATGGTATGTCGTGAGTTATATATTTTTGTTCCCTTTCAATTACTATATCCCTTTTAACCCTGGTGTGTTAAATAAATAACAGTTAACAGCTCTCTTTTGTAAACTATTTATTTTATTTTTACAGAATGTGGTTTGTCACTTAATTCGGAAGAAATAAATAATAAAAAAGGTTCTGTGCCATTGATATCTGGACCTGCAGTTCCGATTAAAGTTGGAGAGTTCCCTTGGCTGACTGCAATTTACCGCAAAGTAGAACAAAAATGGGACCAACAATGTGGAGGAACTCTCATCACCCCTCATATTATAATCACCGGTAAGATCCATTAGAATTATACTGTTTATTTATCATCCAGTTCAGAAAACACTGGCCCTCGAAACTCCAACCATTCTCGCCTACAGTAAACTTTAGTATAAATTTTCATTAGCGTGGCAACAATGATTTGAATAAAATAATGGATAAAACTTGCATTGTTCCGAAAGACGGATAATATAAAAGTTATCTTGGATTGCATGATTTATGTCATATTTCCTGTGTTTTTGATCCTGGTTTAAACAAATCTAGTAAAATTGTCCCTACTTTAAGACATAACAGCTTTATAACTATCAATTAATGATTGGTCCAAACATCAGACCTGTACTTACCTTGAAACCAGTATAGACTTTTAATACTCCTTAGTTCCTCGACTCTTTAATTCCACAACAAAAGTAACTACCCATAGGCATACAAGGTACAGGTGTACCTGATCGTCAACCATGCTGGCCAGATTATAGTACTCCTTAGTTCCTTCCGATCTCACCCGACCTTCTGATCAGCCTCAGACTGCTACATCTGCAGTTTTGAGGCCTCGGCTTTCATTTTAGCGCTCTTGCTACTATAATACTGTGGTATAATTACCTCGTCAAGGAATCTAAAAGTTTTCAATGTTAGGTTAAAAACCTACATGTTTCACCGTTAATACGGCACCGTCAGGGTAGACATATAACATTGAAGACACTACTGTCACACGCACACAATAAATAAATAACACGAAACGAACATTTGGATAGGCCTATAACACGACGCGGGCGGTCCCGGCGCAGGTAGTAGACTGCAGCCCCAGACTCCTTCCTCATTGTTGTCCACGTAATCAGCAGGACAAAGGTCAGGTGGTCGGTTACTTTGGTTTATTAAAACATTGAAGATAGAGTGTGAACGAAACTGCAGTTTTTTATTGAGGATTGGTCCACTTGCAGTGTTGTCGTTGTATAATTTTAGATTTCAAATTCCTCAAGCGTGTTTAATTTACTACCTTTTCTGCATACATGTAGCACCTATAGACCGTCAGCAATCCCACTCATATTATGGTTTAGGTCAATCAAATGTTGGGCGAACGCTGAATTCTGTTTGATTGAACGTCGTTTGGGCCTGTGTTCATATTGTAACGAGTAACGAACCCACGACCTGTTTGACCTATATATTGTTGAAATATGATTTGTGAGAATAGTTAATTTTGGTATCACATGTGTTCTGTACAAGTTAGTTGTCATGGATACCAAATTTTGTTGTGTGAAAAGCTATGTTGTGGTTTTATATCAAGTAAATCTTGTACCTAAAACACCTTTATCTTTATCATTCTACATAATTTAAGTCCATTTACAACAGGTTATGGGCCCAGATTATTTTATCCAGTGCTTCATTTAACGAATACCGACTTCATAAGTTTGTAACAGCAATATGACTCAAAATTCATTACCAATTGAAAGGCTTAAAGGTAGAGAGAATTTTGATACATTGAAATTTGCAGTACAAGCTTACCTGGAAGATTTGGATTTGTGGGACTGTGTATCTGGTGTAGAACAGGATAAGTAAAAGGAAACTAAATGTCGGTCAAAGCTGATCTTATTGGTTGATCCGGTGAGTTATGTACATATTCAAAACACAACCACCTCAAAGGCAGCTTGGGACAATTTAACGAAGGCTTTTCAAGACGATGGATTAAGCAGGAGAGTTGGACTTCTCCGTATTCTAATAACTACAAAGCTGGAAGATTGAAGTTCTGTTGAGGAATACGTGAACCGCATAGTCACAACTGCTCACAAGCTTACAAATGTGGGTCTGAAGGTGTCCGATGAATGGGTTGGAACAATCTTACTAGCTGATTTACCCATCCGGTATGAACCAATGATAATGGGCATTGAATCTTCAAGCAATAAAGTCACGGCAGATGCGATAAAAACTAAGTTATTGCAAGATGTGTCTCCAGTACAACGTCATATGACTTTTGCCGGAACTGATTCTGCACTGTAAGGTTCCAGTTCGAGAGGGACAGTTCACAAAGCGTATCAAAAGAAAAGAAACACAAGGAGTTCGGACAAAAATGCGAAGAAAGGTCCGAGATGTTATAAATGCAATGTTTACGGCCACATCTCGAAGAACTGTACATCTACTGTGGGCAAAAATTACGTAAACTCTGGCAAATCTAATACGTCACTCTTTGCTGCATTTTCAATTAAATCGGGCGTTAGTAATGAGTTCTTTTTAGACAGCGGTGCATCTTGTTATTTATGTGTTGACGTTAACATGCTTCTGAACGCAAGAAAAGGCCAAGCACTAACGATCACCACAGCAAGTAATGAGACAACGGTGACTGATACCGTCGGTGATTTGGAGCTTCCAATATGTATTTCTGGTGAGGTCTCAGAAGCGAATGTAAGTAATGTACATTATGTGCCTAACTTAAAAGTTAATCTTTTATCAGTGAGTCAAATTGTAAATAAAGGAAACTCTGTGGTATTCAATAGTGATGGAGCCAAAGTTTTCAATTCAACAGGTCAGCTCATTGCTTCTGCTAGTTTAATAAACAATCTGTTTAAGTTGGATATGCCTACGAACACATCTGCATTATTCATGCAAAGCAATGGCTTAACGCTCTGGCATCAGCGTATGGGACATTTGAATTTCGATAGCCTTACAAGATTAATTAATGGCTTGGCTGATGATATCAAAATTTCTGGTAGTAAGCCAGAAACTGTTTGTGATATCTGTATGTTAGGAAAAAGTCACCGTTTACCCTTTCTAAGAGTGAGTCTAAAAGCAGTCATTATCTGGAGCTAGTGCATTCTGACTTGGTAGGTCCTATGGAAGTGAATAGCCTTGGAGGGTCTAGGTATATTTTGACCTTTTTAGATGACTACACACACATGTGTTTTGTTTATTTTTTGAAATCAAAGGACGAAGTCAATGGTCACTTTAAAACTTTCAAAGAGTATGCTGAAAAACAAACTGACAAGAAGATAAAAGTGGTGCGTACGGATAATGGTACGGAGTACTGTAATCGCAACTTAACTGAGTTTTTTAAGTCATCAGGTATTGTGCATCAAACTAAATGTCCCTACACACCTCAGCAAAACGGAAAGGCAGAGCGTCTCAACCGTTCCCTCCTAGAACGAGCAAGATGTTTGCTGATAGAGTCTGGGCTTCCATCTAGTTTTTGGGCTGAAGCTGTGAATACTACTGCTTACCTTCTGAACAGATCACCATGCAGGTCCGTGGAACAAACTCCAATACAAGTGTGGTCAGGTGACAAGCTTACTCTACAACATCTCAGAATTTTTGGTTGTAAGGCATTTGCTCACATTCCTGCCGAGAAACGTAAAATCTTAGTCCACGATCTAATCATTGTATATTTGTCGGTTATTGTCAGTTTAGTAAAGGGTACAGATTGTATGATCCTCAGAAGAAAATTACTTTCATATCTAGAGACGTTACTTTTTCTGAAAATCAGTGGGGAAGTTCTTTATTGAAAAATGTGAGTAAAAACTTAGATTTTTACGTGTTTCCCGAAACAACAGAAAATTTGTCTGATAGTCAGGACAGTACTAGTGGTCAGACACTAACCGGTCCACATGTGTCAAATAATGATGATGTGATTCCAACAGGACCTGGTGTAAACCGAAGTAACGACGATGTTACTTACTGACATGAACATTATTCCGGGCACAACAACTCTACCGCAGCGCGTCAGAAACCTCCCAGCTGCGTTGAACGATTATGTTACTTATTTCTCTGGCGATCCAATATCTCACGAAGAAGCATTGAATAGTGAATTCAAAGACTCTTGGATGAATGCTATGGACCGTGAGTTTAAGTCTTAAATCGAAAATAAGACTTGGGAATTGGTCGAACTCCCAGCCTTGAGGAGACCTTTAAACTGTAAATGGGTTTTAAAATTAAAGGAAAATGACAAGGGCCAGGTGACTTGTCATAAGGCACGGCTAGTTGTTAAAGGATTCGACCAAAGGAGGGGAATAGACTATGATGAAACATTTTCACCTGTTGTGCGTTACAGTTCGATTAGGTATCTATTAGCTCTTGCTGCTGAACACGACTTAGACATCGATCAAAAGGATGCTGTTTCCGCTTTTTTGCAGGGATAACTGGAAGAGGAGATATACATGTGCCAGCTGCCTGGATATGAAGGCGGGACTTCTAGAGTTTGCCGCCTTCATAAAAATATATATGGCCTCAAGCAAGCCAGCAGGGTGTGGAACCAAAAACTTGATTCTCTAACAAAGGCGCTTGACAGTGAGAAATTCAGAGACTGCATTAAGTTCCAGGGATTCCACAAATAAGGAGGGTGTTGAAATATGATTTGTGAGAATAGTTAATTTTGGTATCACATGTGTTCTGTACAAGTTAGTTGTCATGGATACAAAATGTTTTTGTGTGAAAAGCTATGTTGTGGTTTTATATCAAGTAAATCTTGTACCTAAAACACCTTTCTCTTTATCATTCTACATAATTCAAGTCCATTTACAACATATATTGGCTTGGGCAATCTTGGCATTTAATTTTATAAACACCTGCCATTTCAATTTTGTCTCTTGGTCGATCAGTCTGCGACAGGGTGTTACGAGTACGGTTTGTGGTTTTGAATGTTAATTCTATTCCCGGCCTAAGAAACTCTTTGGAAAGGCAATTTTGTAGTCTGTGGGAAAATTCAACACAAACGTTCTTCTTACGCTCGTCCATTTGTTTGACCTTCCCATTGTGGTGTTTGGTTGAGTTTGTCTACGAGCCCGCTGTTGTAGCCGTTGGATGTGGCTATATGCTTAATAATACTGTATTCTTTGTTGTAATTTGTGGGAATTGGAGGGACCATTAAAAGTCTGTGTACCATTGAGTTGAATGATGCAATTTTTTTGGAGTGTGGGTGGTATGAGGTTGTATGCATGGTCTGGACTGAAAACGTGGGTTTCCTGTAAATTTTATAATCAAAACTATTGTTAATTTTAGTTACAGTTAAATCCAAGAAATTAATTGCGTTGTTTTCTTCCGTTTTCAGGGTGAACTTTGGTCTGGGAGCTATATTGTTGAGATAATTTAATTAATTGTAGATCTAACTGCCTTTTATTGCCATCAAACAAGACAATGGTGTCATCGACGTATCTATTGTATAGGACTATTTTTGAACGATATTTGTTTTTGTTTGATAAAATGTATTCATTTTCGATGTGATTTAAATATATGTCGGATAGGATACCAGACAGTGGGGTTCTTGCTACTTTTCTTTGTCATTACTTCTGTGATTTTGGGAAACCCGACCTATACCTCACTTACTCCTTACTCCTTACTCCTTTATCCTTACTCCTTACTACCATTCTGCGGCTTTCTCAACCACTAAAAATAAAACATCAATTAGTCCGCAAAATAATCTGAGCTCAATATCCTGCCAGGAAAAAAACCTTTGGACGTATAAGAGTGTTGAGTAAGAGTTGTGGAGAGTAGTTCACACGTAGTTCATTACAATCTCATACAAAGTATTATAAAACATATGGTATGTTTTAGCTGCTCATTGCTTGGTAAATAACAATTATGAAAATAAACCAGTACACCCATCTGACATCAGAATTGGCCTTGGAAAATACTTAAGAGACTATTACATAAAAGAGCAGTCATCCATAATTTCTGAGGTATGTACGAAAAAGAGGGAAACATCTTATTTAATATTTTAATGGATGTTGCAAATATATACGTGTAGTTACCTACAAACAGTAAAATAACTATTGTAAAGCATGCATTTTTAAAACTTAGGGAGTGTATAGGTTTCGTTCTATGGTGTTAACATACTTCAATGGCTTTTTTAATGTTTTGAATGGAACTGTCCAAACCCTGGTTTTATTACTATCTGTAATATTCAGTTGAGGTGTATATATTTAATTTGTTTCAGTAATATATTATTTCAGTAATATATATATATATATATATATATTTCAGTAATATTTCAGTTGAGTTGTATTCTTAAGAGTGATCGGTGTTAGTGTACCTGGTAGATTAAAATTTCCAATTTCAAAACATTATTTACACAAATTGCAAATACTTGTATCGTCCATTTTAGAACAAAAATATCATACCAAAGTACTTTTGCTATATATGTATACATACCCTACTACTAAAAAAACTACAAACCAAAAATCATAAAAAATGAAGTAAATAGGACTTTTTGTACTATTTTAAAATACAAGTATGCCTACTTTAGGTATTTATATGCAAGAAGAACCTCTGTTATATAAACCCCGCCATTAAATCGCAGTTTATAGTTTGGGGAGTTTTGTGACAGTGCCGTTGTTTGTAGGTGAAAGAGGTGGTTATTCCTGACCGGTACGTCGGCGAGTCCTCGCAGTTCGCCCAGGACGTTGGGCTGATAGACCTAGTGGTCAGTGTTCAAATCACCACCACCATCATGCCGGCCTGTATAGATTGGTCCAGTCAATTTGAGCCAGGCCCTCAAGAAATTGGAGTGGTAAACTGTTCACGCAAATGTTAATAAGTTAATTTCAGATCAAACTAATAATATTTGGTTTGCTTTGTTATCGACTACAAGATTAGGTAAAAAATTGCTTGGTTATTTATTTGATCATAGGAAGATGTAGATACATCATGTAGGGTTTTACTATGTATAATGTTCATATTTATATTTATTAAAATTTAGTAAAATTACTTTGAGTATCACTGAAGAGCACAGCACACAATGGAACTCCTCAAAAAGATAAAAGATTGAATTCGCTAATAAGTGGCGTTTTACCTATGAACAAATCATGTGTTTGTTCCCAGGTCGCAGGTTGGGGCAGGGTTGGCGCTGGCCTGGAGAGCAGCGAGGTGGCTTTATCCGCCCGGCTAACATTCATCAAATATTTAGATTGTTTAAAGTATTTAAGTGCGAACAATAAAAAGCTGGTCACTCCTGATAAGTTCTGTGCGGGGGATGTTGATGGTAAGCTTAATTAATTCTTTATATAATTATAGCTTATTATAATTAACTATCATCGGGGAGTGTGAACCTATAGTTGAGTCTCGAAAAAATGTCGTATGTCTTTCACACACTTATTTTATTTATGTTAAGTTTTTCCACGCCCTTTTCTTCTTTCGATGCTGTTGTAAACTAAATAATAGTTGGTATACTAAAAAAGTAGTTTTAATAACCTCATGTCTCAATCTTAACCCTTTCCCATGGGGTGTCTAAGTATGAGCATTTCTTTATTTATATATTTTTCCTAAGGTCAATTCCTGTTATTTTTTAAAAGCCAAAATAAATGCCATTAAAAGACAACTCCGTTTAATATTGCTCCTAATAAAAGTGTAAAACCACAGGGGTTTTAGCAATACGGACTCCAGAACGGTCGTCCATCTATTTTCTTTTCACGAGAAGATTCGATGGGTTACTTTCCCTCCTTTTATGATAATGGTTTTTATAGTTATATAAAACCAGGTTTTGGTGAACTTCCTCAGGGTTTGCCTAAAATTGGGGAACATAATATTCTCTAATCTTCTTTTATATGTTCATGATTATATAGCCCTGCCCTTAAATGAATTCAAACAATGCATATGTATTTCCGATTTTTCATATTTTCAAGCGGCCCTTCAAAAAAAATTTAACTCCCTTTCGTATGTAAGTACAACTTGTACTTGTACCCGTCACCATCCTCACTTTCCTAAAAGATAAACATAAATAAACAAAGTACATGGGGCCTACAAGATATGTCACTTAAAGGTGTATCATTTCTTAATTACATTTTAAAATTAATTCTGCTCTTAAAACAGTGGAACACAAAGAAAGATACACTTTAAAAGCCTTATGAACCATAAGTGAGAGACCATTGATTCTTATAAGTTGTAAAAATATTATAAGTTCTATGTAAAAATCATCAATATGTCAGTGTTGTAACCTAAAATAAAGCTAACTGTCCCAACTGACTGTAGGTAGTGCACCCGAGCGAGGCGACAGTGGTGGTGGACTGACGTTCGTCAAAGATGGGAAACATTTCCTCATCGGAATCGTCAGCACGAAGATTCCAGGCTTCAGGTTGTTTTTAGACCTAAGCAATAAGCTGCACAGGCCTTGGCTGGAATCAGAAAGGGAAAGATTGAGACAATCTCACGTTGAATTTTAATATGGTATTCATGTTTGATAACAAACAACAAATTCTATGTATTCACAAAACGGCCCATTGATAGGACATTTTAATTTTAAAAGAAAAGATAACTGTTTTGTTTAAAATAACAAGAAGTAAATGACATTCCACACAGTTGAAATCCGTTGGAAATCTCCCTTAAACTCGATTTCTCTGTAAAGTAATTACAAGTGTACTTTTTAATTAATGCAATGTTTTGTTGCATTTTCCAATAGTAGATAAGTTATCATAGTTATCACCCAGAATGAATTCATGAATCTAAATTGTAGTACAATATGCAATGTATACGATGGATTTTACCCATGCCAATAAAGTATTGCTATAATATAGTGTTTAAATAATTACCCTTTCACCTAACTGTTGATCTAGATAAAAAAAAAACTAACACGTATTCTAATTGCTTAACGTAACGCTAACCAATTCAAATTTTGTGTTGTGCACAATTGCATTTTTGTGTAATGCATGTTTAAGGTGAGTATACCCAGCTTAGAATTCCGCTTGCAACTCCGCCATCACTGCGAGGTTATGCAGCTTTGTGAATGTATGCGTGTAATGCATGTTTAAGGTGAGTATACCCAGCTTAGAATTCCGCTAGCAACTCCGCCATCACTGCGAGGTTATGCAGCTTTGCGAATGTATGCGTGTAATGCATGTTTAAGGTGAGTATACCCAGCTTAGAATTCCACTTGCAACTCCGCCCTCACTGCGAGGTTATGCAGCTTTGCGAATGTATGCGTGTAATCAGGGGTGCCCACAAGGGGGGGGGGCTGTGACGCAGACTGCGTCATTGAAATGTTTGGGGGGGGTTGCAAAAATTCAAATGGGGGGGGGGTAGCTAAAGTTAATTGCAACAGTGTTCAACGTGACGACAATCAAAAATATTTTACAAGTCACCAGATAGAAAGTGGATTAATTAATGCCAATAGTAATATTATTGGATTCAATTAGTTAAAATAGGATTTTAGGATAGTTTAGGATTCGTGTAGGAATTTATTATTCAAGATTAGATAGACGTGAGATCTAAGAGGGAGGGCACGGAATAGATCAACTGCTGAGATAGATAAAGATAACGTGTGGTACAGACACGTCCAGCTACACCGCACCCCAGCACAGAACGCTTTGTTGACATACAAAGCTCATTAAAATACAATCAAGTAGCATAGGCTACAATACTTTACACTATTGTGTAGATACTCAATTACCTGAGCTAGTAGGAGGGGGGGGGAGGTAATGAAAATACGGTTAATCCATATAGTATAGAAACAGATGACAAACCAAACAAAATTAAAAACACTGTAAACAGCCATTAACGTAATGATTTGCATTTTTATAAACGAAATTCAATATTGCACAATCATTATTATTGTGCAATTATGACATTTCAAATTATTTATCTTGGTTCAGTTGTACAAACGGCAACGTTTAAAATTATAGCTAACTCAAACTTAACTATAATAACTAGCCAAACACTGCATTGCTATAAAAAACGTAAATATTAAACCTTAGAAAGTGTTATAAGCTACTACTGCTCATGATAGACGGATAGGCTACCGGTAGGTGCTGTATCACAACATAGGAATTGATAGATAAGTAATAAAAAAGTGTAAAATTATATTTAGAGATAGTAAAAATACTCTTAAAAAAACGTAATGAGAACAGTCTAGTTATTCTTTTTCTTTGTTCTTCTGTCATTTATAAGGTTTCTCTTCAATTCATACATAAATTCAACAAGTCGCCATTATTTAAGCCTACTCGTTGCCCAATCAGAGCCTTGATTCCCCAGCTGTTGTATCTGATATCTGTTGTAACATAGCGCACAGCAGACAGACTGAGCAGACGATTGTTGGCGCAAGCGTTGTTTCCATTTCATTTTCATCAAAGGAGCTGTGATCGTGATGTTTCAAAAGGGAAGGATAGGGGGTCGTTAAATCAAGAGAAAGACACTGACAATTCGAAGTTACGAATTGCAGAAGTTACGAACGCTATATTCTGGCAATAATAAATTCCTTAAATGGAAGTGACTTATAAAACTCTAATTTTATTTATATAGAAAGATAAGTTTTCCAGTCCTGTACAACACACTGATTCACGGTCTTTCCCCGGTAATCAAAATTCAAGTAGCCTACAACTTGATACACACAGAATCTCCGGTTCCCGACCTGGATGATGGCTAGTTATTTAATTTAATTTACAGTTACATATTACACGTGATTAATCAAACCCGTTATGTGAGCCACACGATTATTAATCTCACTTGGTTTTGGATTTTCTTACAAACGTGATCTGAAATGGTTACACACATGATCGGAAATGGTTAGGGCCTGCACAGTATTCGTAAACAACATTTATGCAAACACATATCAGCGACAGCTAGAAAAAGGAATCTTTATCAAAACAGCTGTTCGTAATTTCATATATGACGTGTTCTCAACAGCATTTCATAAATGACGTATGTAGTAAACATGGAGAAAAAAACTTGCAACATGACACAAAATTGTGTTTTTGATCGTCCGTTATTTTATTTCTAAAATAGTGAGGCCATATTTTAAAGACACTCTTGCCAATCCTGTGAATACAATTAAACCATTAGAACCATAATCGGTACTCTAGTTTTCTTTAGAGTAGGCTGCGTAAAATACCATCTGGGCCATGACAGACGGACATAAATTGAGATAAGACATGTTTCAACTTCTTCAATGTATAGAACGTAAAAATAACCCAAAATATGTATAATTCTGAGCAATGTACAGACAAAACTACATCTTTATTTATATAGATTAACTGGGTTTGAATTTGACATTTTATATTTTATTTTATTATCTCATTTGAATTTTCTATATCTAAAAAAATTATAAAACTTCTTTTAGTTTTACAAATAATGCTGTGCGGGGAAATAATCTTTCTCATTTGTTGTGTACCTCATTTATGGGGGGGGCTGTTGCTCAATTGGGGGGGGGGGGGGGGTTGCGTCATGAGTCTAGGGGGGGATGGGCACCCCTGGTGTAATGCATGTTTAAGGTGAGTATACCCAGCTTAGAATTCCACTTGCAACTCCGCCATCACTGCGAGGTTATGCAGCTTTGCGAATGTATGCGTGTAATGCATGTTTAAGGTGAGTATACCCAGCTTAGAATTCCGCTTGCAACTCCGCCATCACTGCGAGGTTATGCAGCTTTGCGAATGTATGCGTGTAATGCATGTTTAAGGTGAGTATACCCAGCTTAGAATTCCGCTTGCAACTCCGCCATCACTGCGAGGTTATGCAGCTTTGCGAATGTATGCGTGTAATGCATGTTTAAGGTGAGTATACCCAGCTTAGAATTCCGCTTGCAACTCCGCCATCACTGCGTGGTTATGCAGCTTTGTGTTCGAGGTGCTTGCTCGTGATGCATTCATGATTCACGTTTTTTTATTTAATACCTACATAGTATTAAAATGTAATATTACCATACATATTTTAAGTATTAACCTATGTGACAATTTTGAACACCTCCTAGTGTTACAGAGAGGAATCTTCATATTTGAATCTTTAAAATTACATAGGAATCGATATATTTTTTTAGAATGAGGTAGTACGAATACTATTACACAAACTTGTTGGTAAAGTAATTGTTTTAAAATCTATATATACTAAAGGACCCATGCTGCTCCGCAGCGTTAAAATAAATATAATATCCAAGAACTAATCAAATTTATGATTTTTGATGAGTAATACAGTATCTTAAAACTGATTCAAACTATTAATAGCTAAATTTAAAGCCTATAATTTACTGATTATTTTGAGTCTAAAACATACATGAAATAATGGAGCTATTGATTCTTAGTAATTGAAAAACCTTATGAAAAATAACTTTTATGTTGGTTGTACTCCTTACGTTTGCTTGAAACTCGTACGATTTGAATAACTAATACAGTAGCTTAAATGAAAGCCGGTATTTAACTGAAGGATCTTAGACCAAAATATATAGGTTTGTATAATTATAACTCGTGAAATACATCTTAAATTGAAGCGAGAATTCGAAAATGAATCATATTATGTTTTTCGGTCAAATAATACAGTAGGTAAATATATGCCGATACATTTACTTCGATGGCTGATGCTTGATGTGAAATCTTTGTGTGTATGCCTTCAATTTAAGACCTTAATCATGCAAATCAGTCGGGTAGAAGAGCAAAACGAACTCTGCAAAGAAAACCCAAATTTAACTCCCATAAGAAATACATGGGGAGCAAATTTCGTTTACGTATATGCCGAGTGGGATTATAGATACATTTATGCCGATGCTTGATGGCAAATCTGTGTGTGTATACCTTCAATTTGAGACCTAAATCATGAAAATCGGTCGGAAAGAAGAGCAAAATGAACTCTGCAAAGAAAACCCATATTTAACTTCCATAAGAAATACATGGGGAGCAAATTTCGCTTACGTATAAGCCGAGTGGGATTATAGATACATTTTTGCCGATGATTGATAGCAAATCTGTACGTGAATACCTTCAATTCGAGATCTCAAACATGAAAATCAATCGGGTAGAAGAGCCAAACGAACTCGGAAAATAAAAACCAAATTCTTTTAATATATAAGGTATATTATTATTACCGATTATAAGTTTATATATTACTAGCTGTACCCGCGGGCTTCGCCCCGTTTAACTTCATAAGTATTCGCATGGCTCATTCACGTCCTGGTTGAAGTTCGTTCGCTACGCTCACTCACCTTTAGGTTGGAGCTCGTTCGCTGCGCTCACTTGCCTTCAGGTTAGCTCGTTCGCTACGCTAACTCGCCTCCAAGTTGAAGTTCGTTCGCTACGCTCACTCACCTTTTGGTTGAAAATTAGCTGTTGTCATATATTTAAAAAAAATTTATAGTGCTGCACCCTGTTGGTAATCCTTTTAACTTTTATGCTATTGAATATCATAGAACAGAACCAACTTGTTTAATTGAAACAGCTGTTAAGATTCATTAATTCCTTTTAAATATGAAAAATCATAAGATTAACATGGGGAACTACAGAGCCACTGGGGCGGAGCCCGAAAGGGTTTTTGAGATAAGAATATGCTTTAATGTTAATTGGGAATGTGAGCTATCATCATGCCAAATTTCAGCCCAATCCGTCCAGTAGTTTATGCGTGATTGAGCAACAAACACACACACAAACACACACACAAACATTCACACAAACTCACAAACTTTCAGATTTATAATATTAGTAAGATCTCCTATATTACTTTTTATCTCCTCATTTACAAATAGCCCATTCAAAAATCTTATTTCACAAAATAATTTGTATATTTTACGGAA